AACATCTGTTGAGTGGAGGAATAAGTGAAACTGCATCATGGTCTCTGGAGATCAAGACCGTCCATCAGAGGATGGCTTCAGGGCCTGGGGTCCAGGCACAGAAGAGCTTGTAGGGAACAGGGCTCAGGGAGATAGCTCAGCTACGTGTAGAGAAATATGGTGTCAGTGGGGAAGGCAGGAGCCTTGGAGTCCAAGCCAGGCTTGAATCCCACCTCCATCACTAAGTGATGAGGTGATCCAGGGGAGTTTGCCTAACCTTCCTGGCCTCACTTCGTCCCTGCCTTCCTGGGGAGGACTTCCCCACCTTGAAGGGCTGTTTTTGGATGTTTCCATGAGATGCTGGAAAGCCTGTGGACAGTTACAGGTCTGCTCCCGTGGCTGGCGGCAGCCTGAACACAGATTAAAGCGGGAGCTGGGACCCAGGCTAGCGCCAGTCGGGCAGGGCATGCTGCCACTCGCCCAGGAACCGAGGCAGGTCTCCGGCACCGGCATCAGCTCTGGTTGGCAGCGGAGGCCGCAGCCTCTGCACCGCCTGGCTCAGAGACTGGTCAGTGCAGTGTGGAGAACGATCCAGTGATGAGCTGGGGGAGACAGAAGCTGGGGAGACAGAAGCTGGCCCAGAGGGCTAGGAAGCTGGAGTAAGGTGAAAGCGTGGCCACCCAACAGGATCCTCAAGGCAGAGGATATAAACTGGGTTTCTCCTTCTCAAGGGCAGGTTTGGGATCTCATTTACTTGAGGTGACCTGTCTCCATGAGGAGTTGGTGCAGCTCTTTGCTGGGCACGCTCAAAGCCTCCTCAGACCTCCTCCCTCGCACACACCGTTTTCAGAATGGCTTCCTAATGGCGTCGCAATGACCTGAGGCAACTCATCTTCAGAGATGAGAGGCCCTTACCCCTTACAGGCATGCCTCCTTCTCATACCCTCTGGCTCGTCTTCCTGGAGCTTTCTCGTGGCCAAGCCCTGCCCTCGTGTCTTTGGGTTTACCTTTACTTGGAAAGCACACTGTACTCATTGTTACGTGGATAACCCACCACCCTGTCATTCCCACCAGTGTCTTGGGCAATGTTTGCTGGCAAAGCACTCTCCGCCCTCTTCTGACTGCCTCTGACATGATCACCTCTGCGTCATGTCAGCCCGGGGCCACCCGAGCTTACCTGGTGTGGGGGCTGCGTCTCACTGTCTATCTGCCCCCTGCAGATCCTAGCACAGGCGCTTGATAGCTGCTGGGTGAAAATAAGGAGGGAGGGGGCATAGCAGACACTGTGGATTGGCCGCCCACATGCCTTTCATAATCTTCTCCCCGTGTGTTCTTCTCCTGAGGAGTTGGAAATAAAATACATACTCAATTTTCCCAGCTACTCTTACAGCTAGGGGTGGCCAAGTGAAACAGTTCAATGAGGTGTTAGGGCAAGTCTTCAAGGAAGACTTTCCCAGATAAGAGGCACACCTCTCTAAGAAAAAGCCTTTGATCCTTTGGCCCTTCCGTTTTCTTCCTACCTGGAATGAAGACATGATGCCTGGAGGCTCAATAGCCATCTTGCAACCATGACGCAACAAGCAACAGTCAGAATGGCCAAGTGAAAAAGAATAAAGTACTGTGTCATTCTTGATGGTATTGTTATGGGAAACACATTGACTGAAACTATCCACCCTGATCAGGCGCCATATTAACCATTTGCATGAGTTATTTTACAACAGGAGGTCCTGAGAAGGAAGGTGGACCTAACAAACCACCACCAACTGGAAGAGTTCAGGAAACATCAAAAGGAGATGCCAGGTGTTCTTCCACCTCCCAGAATCCTCCTTGCTGGCATCCTCCTTGCCTGAGCAATGCGTGCACCACCACCAGGAAGGACCCTGAGTCAGAAGGACTGGCCAAAGACAACCCAGAAACTAATCCCGTCACCATAAACCCGGAGACTGCGAGCCACGTGGCAGAGCAGTTCTCCTGGGCTCCCTCACCCTCCTGCTCTCTGCCCAGGGGGCCCCTTCCCAATAACGTCTCTTGCTTTGTCCGCACGTGTGTCTCCTTGGACAACTCATTTCCACGTGTTCAACAAAAGCCCACTCTCGGGCCCTGAAAGGGGTCCCCTTTCCTACAAGAACAGCGTCACTGATGACCATTATTCCTAGGCAAACCAACCTCATGGCTTGTTTGGGACCGAGAGGTATCTAGAAATGCAGGACTTTTGATGCTGAAACAGAAATGGTCCTGGACAAATATGGACTCTGGTCACCTATCCTATTCTATCCGAGCCCCGGACTGCTTATTTCCAGAGATTTCTTATTATACAGTGAGAAAAATAAGTCCTATTTACCTCAGACATTGTAGTCAAGGTTTTCTGTCACTTGAGTGTGTTAGTCACTTGGTCACGTCCAACTCTTTGCGACCCCACGGACTGTAGCCCTCCAGGCTCCTCCGTCCGTGAGATTTTCCAGGCAAGAGTACTGGAGTGGGTTGCCATTTCTTTCTCCAGGGGATCTTCCTGACCCAGGGATTGAACCTGGGTCTCACACATTGTGGGCAGACTCTTTACGGTAGCCACCATCTGTAGTCGAAAGCATTCCTGTGGATGTACGTAAAAGTTGGTATTTCTAAGATTCAGCAAGCAGGCATACAGAGTTGCAGGTCATTTGAGGGCTAGTGTCACAGCAGGCGGGCCGCTAGGCCTGAGCAGAAAAATGGGGCAAGGACCAGATGGCAGGAAATCAGGCATCTTGTAAACAGCAGGGGTCCATAGTCAGACAAAGGAAAGCAGGCACCTTCAGACCAGCAGGAAACTACACATTTTGGGTGATAAGGGTCTGAGTAGCAGACAAAGCTGGGGGAAGGAGGGAATGTCCTGTGTCCAAATGTAACCTTTTGCTCATTGTGCCCTCATTAGATAAGATTAGTCTTACAGATAAGAAGTACTCCACCACGCTCTGATGGGAGACACTTCTGACCTAAGCTAAATGGGGACAGAAATCCCTCCTCCCCTTGGTCAAATGGAGCTGGGATGAAAATGAGGAAAGTCGACCCCCAAACTCCGCTTTCCCCAGTGAATATTCCAGCCCTTCATTTGTTGTTGTTCAGTCGCTCAGTCATGTCCCAGTCTTTGTGACCCTGTGAACTGCGGCACACCACGCTTCCCCGTCCTTCACCATCTCTCAGAGTTTGATCAAATTCATGTCCTTTGAATCAGCGATGCATGTCCCTCAAACCCGGCTAGGCAAAGAAGCTCAGCAGGGCAGCTCTTCACTTGCCTGATGCCTTCTCTCCCTCCCTCTGAGAGTATATCTTTGCTTAAATAAACTTTCACTTTATTTTCTTAATCTCTCTGCTTTGTCTCCAAATTCTTTTGCATCGAAGAAAAAAAAACCTCAAATTCACCAGCAACACTACGTACCTTCACAGAGCTTATCTCAATTGAGTTTTATAATGATCTTTTACGATAGGTTTTGTTATACCCATTTTACAGATGAAAAAACTGAGGCACCTGGTAGCTCAGATGGTATACTGTCTGCCTGCAATACAGGAGACCCAGGTTTGATCCCTGGGTTTGGATGATCCCCTGGAGAAGGAATTGGCAACCCACTCCAGTATTCTTGCCTGGAAAATCCCATGGACAGCGGAGTCTGGCAGGCTACTGTCTGTGGGGTTGCAAAGAGTTGGACACGACTGAGCAACTAACACCAAGAAGTTTAGCCCAACTGGAATCCATGTCCTGTGCATTAATGTCATATGCCCTTCTCCTCCATAGCCACTCTAACTCATTTTCTTTTAACTCAATTTGTGATCGCTTAATGTTATTCAGGAGTGGGCAACATTCTTTTTGAATGAATGAAGTCACTGTGAGATGCAGCATTGCCTTCTCTTTATGGTTTCTTTCTGGACAAGTCAAAAAATCCTGGTGATGTGACTTATTTCTCCATCACGACTGTTAATGGATAAGAGAGAATTGGTTTACATAGATTAAAAGATGTTGTTTAAATTATTGTTGAATGATTCAAAAGGTACAAAGGGGAATGTCGTAAAAAGTCTCCTTTCCATCCCTGTTGCTTTATAGATGAATATTAGAAAAGCTTCCATCAGTTTTAAATTGATGGTTTTTTTCAATGTGGACCATAATGAATAGCCCCTTAAATTTGTATTCAGCTTTAGAAAAGATAAAATACTTTCAAAGGCACAGTCTCTCTCTCTCTCTCTTTTTCTTTCCAGCTGATTGAGGGAGTTTTCTTTAGATTCCATTCATAATCACAGCTTTTGGCAGATCTTACTTCCCCCTCATCCTCCCAACCCTACCCACTCCCTTCCCCTTTCCCAGAGGCCAAGACTTCCCTCTGGGTCCCTCACACCCTGGCTGGTACTGAGTCTCCTGAGTCCTCCTGGGTACAACCACAGGCTCTTCATATATTCTTTGTATCACTTGCTGCACCAGGAACAAGTCTCTCCCAGAAAGAAGCTCTGAAGACGCTGTTGATGGGCCCACTGGCTGGCCAACCTACTCTTGCACATGAGTGGCCTATGAAATACCCTCTTCAATCAGCACGTCTGACTCATTTTCTCTGATGGTTTGCATATCTGTTTATAGTTTGTCCCTTACTAAAAGTTTTGCCTACGAAGAGTCTCTAATATAATGGGAAGATATTATCATATTCATTGAAAAAACATAATTTATCTATATCTATGTATACCTACATCTAGGGAAAGTGAAGTCGCTCGCTCAGTCGTGTCCGACTCTTTGCAACCCCATGGACTGTAGCCTACCAGGCTCCTCTGTCCATGGAATTTTCTAGGCAAGAATACTGGAGTGAGTTGCTATTTCCTTCTCCAGGGGATCTTCCCGACCCAGGGATTGAACCCGGGTCTTCTGCATTGCAGGCAGACACTTTACTATCTGAGCCACCACGGAAGCCCACCTACATCTATGTGTATCATATAATTAAGACTCTCATTACAAAATCTATGTATAGAGCAATTTCTGGAAATAACTCATTATTTCCTTTCTCTCTTAGCTCAATTGTACCTCTCCCCCAAGGTGTCCTCATCTCAGTTCGGACGCACCAGTTTCCCAAGCCAGGTTCCTCAGTGATCTCGTCCTCCACTCTCTTTGCTCCAGCCCCACCACCAGCACAGCTGGCTGCCTGTCAATCCCAGCTGTCAGTAAGTCCTGTCTGTTCTTCTCTTTGGCTTTCTCACATCTCCTTGCTTTTCTCCATCCCCTCAGCCACCTCCCTAGTTTAGACCCCACCGGTTCATACCCAGGTGGCGCTAGTGGTAAAGAACATCTGCTAGTGCAGGAGACATAGAGACCTGGATTTGATCCCTGGGTCTGGAAGATCGCCTGGAGGAGGGCATGTGAGCCTGTCTTTGATCCCTGGCAGGGCAGTGCTTCCTCTTCACGGCCCTGACCATGTGACATGATGATGTGTTTGTGAGTCTGTCATCTCCACCCCATCATGACCCTTGAGAACAGGGTCCAGAATACTGACTCCAGTATCCTTGCCTGGAGAATCCCATGGATGGAGGAGCCTGGTGGGCTACAGTCCATAGGGTCGCACAGAGTCGGACACGACTAAAGTGACTTACCACGTAACACTGCACATCTCATACCCAAATTTTGGTAACATCCTTACAAAGAGGCTCCCACCTTCTCTGTCTTGCTCTAGCTTGATCCATTCTCTACATTTCAGTCAGGGTCCTTTTGCTTTAAAATATGAAAAAACAAAACAGTCTTGCAACACACCCTGCTTACAGGTCCACTTGTGTTCCATTATCCTCAGGATATTGCTGAATTCCCTTCTCAGCCTGGCTCTGGCTCTTCTCCAGCCCCTGGCTCGCCTTTGCATACACTGCCTGTCACCCACAAGCTGTTCCTGAGCCCCTCACCTCCTGCCCTCACCCTTCCTTACCTCCAGGCCTCACGGGGCTGTTCTGGAAGCCAGGAGCCGTCCCCTGCGCGGATTCCTGCGGGTCCTTTGGGTCTCAGCCTCACCAATGTTCAACAAATAAGGTTAAGATGTAAAAAGTCAAACTAGTTAGCTGTATAATGATCCTGGGTTTTCCTCATCATGTATATATTGACCTGGTCACTCCATCGACCATTCATTCTCAACCCACTCGAGAGCTGCTTCCTTCACAAAACCTTCTGGGACTATAAACTGAACAGACAGGCACTTAATGCCGTTCTGTTTTTGTACATTGCCATTCAAAGATTCCATAACAGATCTCACCTTCCTACCAAATTGTAAAGTCCTGGAAGACAGGGACTATGATTTACACTTACTTTGAAATTTCTCTGGGCATCTGGGCAAAAAACCTGGGATTGCTCCATGAATGCTGGGTGAAGCAACCCTCAAGACCGGGAAAGGCAGTGCCCGTATCCCTAACCTCAAATCATCCCCAGTGAGTCTCTTAATATATCTCTTCCATCTTCATTCATCATCTGCTATGATATTGGCTTACAGTCTTGTGCTGAGAACAGATTAGATGCCATTAGCCTGGGTTTATGATTCTCTGAGAAGAGGTAAGACATGATGCTACCAGGAATGTAAGGGGATTCCCATTAGAAGTCTCTAGTTCTAATCAACCTTTGAATTTACTGTTAATTAACTTCTCACCCATGGAAAGTAAAAATGTCATCTGTGAAGCCCCCTGAATTGTAGATAGAAGAAGCAGGTCTTTGTTCCATTTCTACCATGCATCAGCCTTATGACATTGGACAAGTCACCTATACATTTTTAAAACCTCAGTTTCCCCATCTTTAAAATGGGAATGATAATACCTCACAGAATTACAACTGCTCTCACAGGGGTATTGTAAGGATTAAAGGGGGTCATGAATGTGAACTTGATTGGTAATATGCAAAGTGTCATTTAAAACTCAGAGAGCACTTTTAACTTTATTACAAATGAAAGTTCTTGCCCCTCTATTTCATTCACAGCATTCACAATCCAGACACAAGCTCTCCACCAGGAAGTGAGCTGTACTGATTTTAAGGAGAGAGAGTGTCCTTCATCTCCTATCTAGGAGATCTACTGCAATCACCTTCTCAGACCCCTGTAAATGTTGGGATGGTCGTGTCTACCTCCCTCAGGGCTGCAGGTCCTCAGGCAGGCATGCTGCATGCCATGGGAGCTGCCCACCATGCTCAGACCCCAGGGGAATGGCACCCACCAAGGAAGCTGCCCAGGCCCAGCTCCTGAAACACTAGCTCTTTCCGGGGAGAATTCCCTATTGCTGGCTGTCCTCTTCAGAGAGCTCTGCTTAGATTTGTCAGGGAAGGTGGTTACAAAATGCAAACAACAAAAGCGGGCCCCGAACCTAAGATCCTAAAAGAGAAAGGGAGAAGGGGACTCTGGAAGGAGAGACAGTCACGTCTACACAACCGGCAAGAATCCAACCAGTTATCAGAGTTCACACGTGCTCAGTTCAGTTCAGTTTAGTCTCTCAGTCATGTCTGACTCTTTGTGACCCCATGGACTGCAGCATGCCAGGCCTCCCTGTCCATCACCAACTCTCGGAGTCTACCCAAACTCATGTTCATTGAGTCGGTGATGCCATCCAACCATCTCATCCTCTGTCGTCCCCTTCTCCTCCTGCCCTCACTCTTTCCCAGCATCAGGGTCTTTCCCAATGAGTCAGCTCTTC